GCCTTCTTTATGTGTAGGACAGGGTGGCCCTATGACGCACAGATGTCACAATGACCTTAAATGGGATTGGCGTATGTGGTTGTCGTATGCTGTCCACAGTATAAGATGATGTCCTAAAAAAGAACGCTCGCTCCATGGTCTTTCCATCCCTGCAACATCCCTGCAAGTTGCTGTTTATTTTTCACGCAGTTTGCGAGGTGGGAAATGGAATTTCAAGGAGGAAAGTGAATGCCCTTCATTTTGGAATGACCTAATCATGAGAAAGGTTATTAAACAGAGCCACGGGGAAGCAGTAGTGGAAAAGCTACATTTAGGAACTAATGTTGTGCATTTCTCACATTAAATGGTTTTCTATGTTGAATCGGCTGAACTTGAAGGGTAATGCTCTGAATATTGAAAAATGTATTTTTTCTAGATCTGTGCCAATCTTGATGCATTTACCATTATGACTGTGGAAAAAAACATTGATGAACTCAGGAACCAAATAAAGGAGCCACGCAAAAAGTTTGTAACCACAGATGTCACCAGAGAAGTACGTACTTAAAAGTCTACTTTTTTCCAGTTTGGAGATGCCATCCTCAAGTGAAAGTTATTTTATGCTGACTGACCACGGAGAATGTTGTTGTGAAATGTCTGCAATGAAGCGATCGTTTCATTCTGTCTGTTCCGCTGATGGTGGGCAACAAAGCACCTGCTTTCTTCGCCTTCCGTGTAGTTGTATAGATCATCTGAAGAACAGTGGAGTAGCTCAGTTCTTCTTCAACAGCAAACAAGCCCTGGAGGGGATGGGGACGCTACCGCTGAACTTGAACGGTTGTCATGGTTCTTCAGAACCTGTTATCCTGCACTAGCTTTCTTGGCTAATTTCAAGAGTAGTTTCTTCTGACAGCACGCCCCAGCTAAATCAGAAACATTTTATTGCTACCAGATTATAGTTAGGAATGATAATGAGATGCCTACCTCATTTGCATATGTGCATATTTGTTTTCTAAGGAAAACACTGACATGGTAAAGAAATGAAATATTTACTTAAGTGATGCTGTCTCAAATAACTATTTTCAGGGTACAGTTATCAGCTGAGCATCAACTTGAACATTATCACTAGTACATTTTGTGATCAATATTCTTTTGTGAAAATTTAAAAACATGATCAATTTTAGCCATGGAGATTTGAATGATAACTTTAATCATCAAAATCTGCCTCATAATGATGGTTGGATTGAAAAGTATAAGATATATGATATAGCTAACATCATGCTTGATATTACGGAGCCCCGAGCCCAGTGGTTCTCAACTTTCCTAATGCCGTGACCTTTTCATACAGTTCCTCATGCTGTGGTGACCCCCAACCATAAAATTATTTTTGTTGCTATTTCATCACTGTCATTTTGCTACTGTTATGAATTGGGCGGCCCCTGTGAAAGGGTCATTCGACCCCCAAAGAGGTCATGACCCACAGGTTGAGAACCACTGCCCTAGTCCAATAAGTGACCAACTTCCATCGATGTATATTTTTATCATTGGCAAAAAGGAGTACGAGGGAACTTAAAAAACGCGTGGAGTATTTCATCATCTTTTTATATTATCATTCCACAAACTTTTGAACCTTTTGTACTATCTATTCTGATTGTTCTACTGCATTTGAATATATTTCATTCATCTCTCTTATATGTCACCTTTTCCGCTTTATGGGATTATTCATTTAAATGTATGTTTCTCTTTATAAGCAAGAAAAATAAGACCCAATATTTTTAGAATATTTTAAAAAATAATTTGGTATCCTATTCTTTAATTTATGTAGTTTAAAAACACCCAACAGACATTTTCTGGAACTATAACATACATACAGAAAAATAAAAATTCACAACTATCATTAATTTCTCATAAACTGAAACACTCATGTAACCAAAACCATATCATGGTACAGGATGTTACCCAGACTCCCAGAAGTCCCCGGTGACCCCAAAGAGAACAACTCTCCTGACTTCTTGGACAGGATGACACTGTGGGCTTTATATAAATAGAATCACATAGTGTGTACTCTTTTGTAGCTAACTTTGTTCACAGTTCAAGTTCTCGACTTTATACTTTTACCAGAAACAATACTGAAACCAGTTCTTCAGAGAAGAATATTTTTAAAATTAGACTAAGCCATTTCCCAATAGTTGAGGCACCTACATATATCGTTTTTTCACATGACCTTTAACATTCAAGGTCTATATCGCACATTAACTTTGCTTCTTAAAACGTTTGCACTGGAAATTTCAGTAAACGTGTGGAAATTTGGTGTGGTTGTCACTTCAGGGGGGAGGTAAAAGAGAAGCCGAAAAAGGTGAATGTACGAAGAGGCTTTTAAAGGCTCATTTTCTTTTCTTTATTTTCCCCTTAGTTTCATGAGACAAGTATTCTATATATATCAAATATATCATAAAGTGGAACTTATTTTTTTTTAAGATAATGTTATTCCTATTATAGTATAAGAATATAAAACCAAGTGTATGAATTATTTTTAGGATCCATTTAAAGAGAAACTTCTAGAAATAATGAGAAAGATTCAGACATTTTGCCAAATGAATCCAATGTCGGATTTTGGAACGCAACCCTATGAACAATGGATCATAAAAACGGAAAAAGAAGGTAATTTGGGGTTAGCCCTAACAGTCATCCGAGGTCATGTTTTTCCCAAGGTTTCAGATGATTTGTCACATATTTCTAAGCTGACTGAAAGCCAATGGAATATCTGTGTTCTAAGCAGACAAGAACAAACAGGTTCCAATTCCCCATCTAAGAAAAAGGGTACAGGCCATCCATTTCCCTTATCTTCAGTTTTTGGCTTATTGTGGATTTAAAATGCTAAGGTAAATATTAGCCTCTTTATCTCCAAGCAAACTCCCTAATGAGCTTTTCATGTCATTCCTGAGTCAGCGTGGCTCAGGGATGTGTTTTGGCTGATGCACAGCTCCATCAGCAAGCCTAGGAGTTTGGGCAGTTTACCTCCTTTTTGTGCTCAGAGTACATTTTGAGCCTTAACCTGCTCATTTCAAAAGCAAGGCGAAGCAGATTTTAGAGCTAGTCTTACAAATATGGTGCAAACGGTGACATGCTCAACTTCTAACCAAAAGGTTTGGTGGTTTGAAGCCACTCAGAGGCTCTTCAGAAGAATGGGCTCATGATGTAGTTTGGAAAACCGTTCTACTCCGAAACACGTGGAGTTACCAGGGATTAGAATCAACTTGATGGCAGCCATTTCGTTTCTGTTGTCCATTATAAATATATTTATGTCCACAATCCTATTTCCCCATTGGGTTCCCTCAGGACCTCACTTTACATGGTATATTCTTTTCATAGCTGCAAGAGAAGGAAATAGAAAAACCCGGGTTTGTGCGGAGCATTTAAGAAAGTACAACGAGGCCCTACAAATTAATGACATAATCCGAATGATTGATGCCTATAATCACCTCAAAACGTTCTATAATGATGAGAAAGAAAAGAAGCTTGCAGTCCAGGAAGAGGACAGCAGTGACCATGCTGATGGCGGGGACAAAGACGGGGGTGCTGCGGAGAACCCTTGGAAAGTGGACGAAACAGATCAGTTTCTCATGGATTTATTTTTTGGTAAGAGTCAAAGGAGCGTTTTTCTCTTGGCATCTTACTGCCTCCGTGGAATGAACCTACTGCTCCTGATAAGCTCCCCAGAGGCCTGATTCAAATTAGACTTTGAAAAGAGAAATGCCACAATACGAGGACTATTTCAACTGATGTGACCTGATTAGCCATGAGTTACACAATCATGAGCAATCACTTGGCCATAAAATTGATTGCCAAGATGATTGCAGTGAATTTATTTATTAAGTCACCCAGATCATTAAACAATCACCTATAATTAACTGTACCAAGAAAATCTCACTGCCTCATCAAATAACTCTTCTAGTGTATAACCTGTATGCTTTACTTTTTTCTCTCTCTGACAAATCATTTGTTACAGATAATAAGAGAATGTTGAAATATCTGGCTGAGAATTCAGAACATGAAAATGAGAAGCTGACACAATTAAGAAACACCATCATGGAACAATACACTAAGACTGAGGAATCAGCCCGGGGAATCATTTTTACCAAAACACGCCAGTGCGCGTTCGCTCTTTCCCAGTGGATTTCTGAAAACGAAAAATTTGCTGAAATAGGAGTCAAGGCACACCATCTGATTGGAGCTGGACACAGCAGCGAGTTCAAGCCCATGACACAGGTTCTAATGGTCTCCTTTGTATGCTATTGCTCACGGCTGTCGAGTAAGCTCCAACTCCGGGGGCCTTCTGTAGAGCAGACTGGAGTTTTGCTTGGTCCCTGCCAAACTCATAACTGTGGATGTACGTGAGGCAGCCTTCCCCCGTCTGCTGCTGAGTACGTCCAAGCCAGGGACCTCATCTCCCAGCACTGCAATGGACAAGAAATATGCTCTTAGAACCCAGCTGGTTGTCGTTGGGCAGTTTTCAGAGCTAGTCCACCAGACCTTTCTTCTTCTTCTGCCGTAGTCTGGCAGTTCTGCTGACACCTGGCCACCATTTGAAATGCAGGTGACATAGCTTCCAGCATCATGGCAGCATGCAAGCCGCCACAGGATGACGGTGGACAGATGGGTTTGGGGTGATATTACTGTCCTTCATTAATTAACTTCCTTCATTCTCTAATGATCCTACAGAATTTAAAATAAAATGCTTGTTCTTGGGATAAAATTTGAATTTAATAGCAAAGCAATCTGTGGTATTTGATAAGCTAAGCATTGAGCTAGGAGTCATTTTTTTAACATACGTGGATGAACTTTCCATTTTTATTTTTTTGCACTTTTACAATTTCTCCTGAAAAAAATAAGTTTGATCAGTTAGTCACAAAATGGAGAAATACTAATTAAGTAGAAAAATAGAAACCCTGCCCCCTACAAAACTCTGTACATTAATTATAATGCTCTTGCGTGGTTGGAATTCCATTCATGCGAACCCACGTGGGTGCAGTAGAACTGCGCTATAGAGTTGTCAGCAACTCGATAGAGCCTCAGAAGTCTCTGCAGGCCTGTCTTGAGAGGTGGCGCCTCCTGCTGGGTTCATATTGCTAACTTTTCCATTAGTCATCAAAGGCTTAACCATATGCACCACTAAGAAGCTTATACTATGATAAAACCTATATAAAATGTGTTTTCATAGGATAAGTCCTATAAAGGACTTGGAGAAAGAATATTTGATGTGTTAACTCTTGGGTATTATGGGAGATTTTCTCTTCAAGGCACTATCTGCCCCGCCATATTATTTTACTATTTCAAACATGGCATGGAGGCCACATCTAGCCTCCTTTGGCTCCCAAGGCCGATTGCCTTAGACAGGGTTCAGACATAACGCTACTCCCTTCCCTTTCTTAACCCTCTTCTGCCGTCAACCATTCCTCCCACGGCACTCCATTTTCTCCACACTCCACTTTTTGGGGGGCTGGATTTGCTAATGAATTCCATAGCCACACAGACTTTACAGAGGAAACTCATGATTATAGCTATAATCTTTATGGGAGCAGACAGCCTCCTCTTTCTCCCTTGGAGCAGTAGGTGTGCTTGAACCTCTGGCCTTAGGGTTAGCATTCCAATGCTTACCAGACAGCACTATCAGAACTCCTAAGAAATATTTTAACAACTACATTCTGATACACTTTGGGGGGTGGTAATTTTCACCCATTTCAATATTGAAATATGTCTTATATCTGATAGTGTCTCAGAATCAGTGAAATATAGATTTAGACAACCTTACTGGGAAATGGGGAGAATTCCAAATCCTGTTGGCCTACATGACGGTGACCAAAATCAAATCAAAGTGTGTCTCTTTCTTCAACAATATTTTGGGCCAAGATGACATTAGGCTTTAGAAGGACCTTTCCTGCACCACATCATTGTGTCACTCGTGCTCTTATGCCTGCAACCCTGCCGCACTCCCACATCCTCATTCTGTAAACTGACGTGGATGAACACATTAGGGTAGCATCGACGTTGCTGTGCTATGAAGGCCTGATACTGTCCGAAATATTCGTTATCAGAGTTACTTCTTTGAATTAAGGCACTGAAACCCGCTAAAACGCAGGGCCATGCAAGTTTTTCTCAGTGCAAGTGAGAGCAGAAGAGAGCGATTCTCTGGGAAGACACTAGAATCTGGAAAGACCCTAGAGGGACTTCACGGCAGGGTTACGCCCAGGTAAACCCAAAACTCAAACCCAAACCAAATTCACCACCATCGAATCACTTCTGACTCAGGGGAACCCTAGAGCAGGGTTGAACTGTCCCAGGGAAACCGATCCTGTGGGTTTCCAGGACTCTGTATGTGAGTAGAAAGCCTCATTTTTCTCCTGCAGAGAAGCTGGTGTTTTCGAACTGCTAACTTCAGAGTTAGCAGCCCAATGCACAACCACCAGAGCTCAGAGTTGGATAAAATCTCATTCTGCTGCTGAGGAGAACAGGAGTTGGGGGAAACACACACACACACACACACACACACACACACACACACTGTCAGTCTAGCATGTTTATTTTTGTTAAATGTATGAGGACAAAAATAACATATGTGTGTCCCATAGGCTGATCGGGACAAAAGTTTTTGTGGGAGTGGTTATAAAAATAAAGCTATCCTGGTCATACCACGCTATATTTATTCTCACTCATTCTTATGCAAAGGGCAGAGTGTACATTTTAATCTCTTGAATTGCCTTCACATTTGGAAATCATATAATTTTTAATTTAAGATATTTTAATTACATCTTCTAACCCATTCATTTATTACTAGTATTATTAATTTTATTCACCCAGCCCTAGAAGTAGCAATGCTTTTAGTTTTACTTGTGTCTCTTCCAGAGAACCTACCATCTGTTTCTTGTTTGGAAGACTCTTAAAGTGACCAAATGTGGTATCTGGTGTGCCCTTCCCTGTGACTCAGTAGTCAACAATGTGGAAAACTATAATTTCATCTTGGCCTTTGAATATTAAAGACTCTAGAGTTAATGTAGTGGAAAGGCCGATTTTAGCTTCTTATTGACATCTTGTTTCCCCAACTGAAAGCATCTCCTCTCTTTCTTCCTCCCAAGTCGCCCATCAATTTGTTTCCTTGGCATAAGTGCCGGTCTTCCAACCTCCAGACTGGAAGATGGAAATATTTGTGTTATTGTGTGGTAATCCCAGATTGGGAATCAAATGTGGTCTCGCCATCGTGTGTTTGCTCAATGCCAAAAACAGATGGTAGCAAATCCGCGTATGATCTAATCCTTTGATTTACACTGACCAGTTGCAATTTATAATTTTGTCGCCTAATTAAAAGAATTGTAATGTGTTTAGCCTCACAAAAATCTAATTTATTAAACTGTTTCTACAGAATAAACAAGACGAAGTCATTAGTAAATTTCGCACTGGAAAAATAAATCTGCTAATTTCTACCACAGTGGGCGAGGAGGGCCTGGATATCAAGGAATGCAATGTGGTTATCCGCTACGGGCTCGTCACCAACGAAATAGCCATGGTCCAGGTACAGGCAGACACTTCCCTCGCCTCCGTTTCACTTTTCTGATCCGAATTGCTGCTTTTAAGTCAGGCCTGAGAACTGACCTTTTTCCTTGCTCAGTCAGGACCAAGCAAGAGAAACCAGACTGAGCCGCATTGATAAAATGTGAATGTGTGAGAACAATAACCAGGATGGGCAACCTTGTAAGTCAACACCCCACCGGAAACGTAAAGGCCACGTGGGTGTTGCACAGGCACCAACTCTCTTGACCATCAGAGTCATAACCCTTAGTGCCCGGTTCAGAGAGGGCTGCTCGCAGGGTCACTAGGACTCTGCCACTTTCTTCTTTTTTTAAATTTGAATTTCCTTTGTGTCCTCTTTTTTCCCCTTCTTTTTAAAATCATTTTACTGGGGGCTCGTACAACTCTTATCACCATCCATACACACATCCATTGTGTCAAGCTCATTAGTATATTTGTTGTCATCATCATTCTCAAAACATTTTCTTTCTACTTGAGCCATTAATATCAGCTCCTCATTTTCCCCTCCCTCCCTGTTCCCCCTCCTTCCCTGATCCCCTACCCTCATGAACCCTTGATAACTTATAAATTATTATTATTTTTGTCATGTCTTACACTGTCCAACATTTCACTTCACTCACTTTTCTGTTGTCCATCCTCCAGGGAGGGGGCTATATGTGGATTCTTGTGATTGGTTTCTTCTTTGTACTCCACCTTCCCCTTCCCCTCCTGGTATCCCTACTCTCATTATTGGTCCTGAGGGATTTATCTGTCCTGGATTCCCTGTGTTTCCAGCTCTTATCTGTATCAGTGTACATGCTCTGGTCTAGTTGGATTTGTAAGGAAGAATTGGGACCATGATAGTGGGCGGGGGGGGGAAGCATTAAAGAACTAGTGGAAAGTTGTATGTTTCATTGTTGCTATACTGCACCCTGACTGGCTCGTCTCCTCCCAGTGACCCTTCTGTAAGGGGGTGTTCAGTTGCCTACAGGTTGGCTTTGGGTCTCCACTCTGCACTCACCCTCATTAACAATGATATGATTTTTTGTTCTTTGATGCCTGATAACGGATCCCTTCGACACCTCGTGGTCACACAGGCTAATGTGCTTCTTCCATGTGGGCTTTTTTGCTTCTGAGATAGATGGCCACTTGTTTATCTTCAAGCCTTTAAGACCCCAGATGCTATATCTTTTGATAGTCAGGCACCATCAGTTTTCTTCACCACATTTACTTATGCACCTGCTTTGTCTTTGGTGATTGGTCAAGAAGGTGAGCATCATGGAATGCCAGTTTAATAGAACAAAGTGTTCTTGCATTAAAGGGGTACTTAAGTGGATGCCCAATGTCCATCTGCTACCTTAATACTAAACCTATACATATATGCACATAGATCTATTTCCCCATGCTCATATATAAATATATTTACATATGTACATGCCTGTATTTAGACCTCTATAAATGCCCTCTGCCTCCTAGTTCTTTCCCCTATTTCCTTTTACTTTCCTCTTGTCACACTATAATGTTCAGCCTTCATTTGGATTTCAGTAATTCCTCTCAGTTACATTGCCCTTGATCAAGCCCTACCAAGCCTTCTACTTTCTATAGTGGGGCAATACTCCAGTTTCCCAGATGAATCTCTTGAAAAGGCTCACTATACCTTTTCTGAGTCTCCCAATCTAGTATTTATTTTTCTGTTGTACCCAAATTTTACAAGTCTGTTTTCCTTTACTCTTTCTGAAATTGACTTTTAGAGTATATGACCAGAGAAGATGCTTTGTATTATTTTGAGGCCTTAGACCTTACTGAGACTTGCTTTGTGGCTTATAATATGGTCTATTCTGCACGATGGCTTTTTGTGTGTTGGAGAAGAGTGAGGACTGACTGCTGGTGGGTGGCCCTACAGTTCAAAACTGTTGTGGAGGGGGAGGAGAAGAAAGAAAGAGCTTTGGAAAAGGTGTTTGGAAGAAATGTGTGAGTTTAATGGCATCCCCTAGTGAGCCAAAACTGACTTGCAGGTTCCGCTCCATGGCCATGCTCCCAGTGCCCTCGCGGGAAGCCCCAAGCCATGGCAACTTGTTCGGTCCACAGGGCAGAGCAGGCTCCAGGGGAATGAGGTTTGAGTGTCCGCGTGGCTTTGCAAGGGACGATCTGACCCAGCACAGGAAGAAGGCAAAATAGTTAAGCCAAGGGCCTTCCGGTCACACAGCCTCTAAGCCTCCTTATCCGCAAAGCAATAAGCCATAATGAAGGCATCGGTAAATCGTAGCTGTTATTATTTCTACTCTTATATTTTGTAAATTAAGAAATGTTGGTCTGGAAACAATGGGAAAAAAATCATCCTTTTTATTTCTTATAACAACTGATTTTCCTAACAGCTGATTTAGCATAACACCCTGGTCTTCGCAACCCAGCCATATCGACAGATGAGGAGCAGACATCTGATTGTAGAACTGTCTCTTTCTCCTTTTAATGCTTATAGAAGATGCTTTATGTTTGGGGACTCTGAAAATCATTCCTTTTGAAGGTTCCACACATAGTTCTTAGGCTTTCCATCCTTTTCTTCAGTTATTATTATTATTTAATGACATATTCTGCAGGCAAACTATCATTTTAGTTATCAAGGAAATGGGCCTCAGCTTCACTGGTTCTTTCAGGTCCACACCCTGCCTTCCTGTTGTGTTGTTTATTTCAGGTATTTTAAATGTATGTCTTGTGAATTTGTAGTTGTTCTTTTTTAAAAAAATCATTTTATTGGGGGCTCTTACAGCTTCTATCACAATCCATCCATCCATTGTGTCAAGCACATTTGTGCATATGTTGCTATCATGATTTTCAAAACAGTTTCTTTCTCGCTGAGCCCTTGGTAGCAGCTCATTCTCCCTTCCCAGCTGTTGTTCCCATGGGGTTTCCGGTTGCTCATTAGGTCGATCCTTTTTTACTGGTACTGTTTTCCCGATTTCTTCTAAGGGTTTTTATTTTCTGTGTTTTCCTTAACTTCTTTGAGAATCTTGTCTGCTGTATCTGAGGTGCTAAGGTGTTATTTTTTTAACGTAATGATTGATTGTGAATGTGTTTATGTTGTCCTGATTTTTGTGTGTTTTGCATAGTTATAATATATCATGGCAGATGGTCTAGCATGTGCCACTGGTCACTAGTCAGACAATATGGCTGGGTGGTGGGGAGCTAGGGGGGAGTTGCACATGAAGCAGATGTGCACATTTGAGAGTAATGTCCAGAAGCACAGCCATTCTTAGGTTAGCAAGGTGGCCAGGGGGGCTGACAGGTGCGGTGGCCACAGAGCATCACTGAGTGCAAACTGCTGCTTGCCAGATGTCTGGGTCAGTAGGAGGATGGGTAGGATGGACATATAAAGCTGGTAGGTGGGCGTGGTGGCGGTGCTGCTGTTTTGGGCTGAACTGAGCATCATGCCACAGTTCCTTAGTTGGCTGGGTTTTGCGGGTAGAAGGGCTCAATCCACTAGTCATTGAGAAGGGCAGGAAGAGGGGGAACGTGTTCCTCTGGTCCATAGGCATGGATGCCAGGGTACCTTCCATAGTCTGTAGGCAGCAGCAAGACCTGGCCCTGAACAAACGCACGGAGCGTGAGTGCTGTCCAGAGTCTGGTTGAGTAGGGAGCGTCCTGCAGCGTCTCTGCAGCTCTACCACTCTGCGTGAGCTAGCACTGTAATGGTCAGTTGCTACCACTGGTGGGTAGTCTTGTCTTCAGTTCCTGCCTCCCTGTCGCTTGGCTTTGTGGCTCCCAGGACCCCTGAAGCTCTCACTTTGCTTCTATTGTCATTCCTCCCTCTGCTTCACATCCTGCTCATCTTGCTTCACTCTAGGCTTGTCTCCGCAGCTTCTCTGCCTCCTGGCGGGAGTTCTGTGATGTTGCTCTCCTGTGTGTCCGACCTGGACTTGCTGCTCAGTCTGTCTCCGTAGCCATGCTGTGCTTCCCCTGCTGACCCAGCACCTCTAATGGGTCACTTTCCTGATTTGCTGTTTTCATTCGATTTCTTCTTCCAATCAATGTCCACTTTTTCATGATTTCTTTTAATACTTGGAGTTCCGTGGTTGTTACTTACATGAGTCTACGTCTTCCCTGCTTTCTGAGGACTTTTCAGTAGGGAGACCCCTGGAATGTCGAAGCTGCCATCTTGGTCAACTCCTGAGCCCTGCTGTGTCTGCATTTCCCCCTCCTTCTTCACCTCTTCTGCATGTGTGAACTGTTTCATCATAAACTCTGGGAAGGGGCAAGACTTATGAATGCAGACCCCCTCCCCCATCCACTTTTCAATCCAATTTCGCCTTTCCACTTACCCACACTCTGTTCACAGTGTTTGTATCGTTAGCTTCTGTTGGGAATTTTGTATTGAGTGTGTTTTTAAAAAAAACCAAATTCAATGGCATTCTCCGGTGAGACGAAGATGACTGGACAGCCTCCAAAGGAGGACGCCATTGTCTGTCAGAAGCTGACATAGAACACGGTAGCTGCGTACTCCGAATGTATTTATCCATGAAGACAGTGCAGTCGGCAGGCTCCTGGGAAAGCCCCAAACTCCCCTTAGTCAAAATGCACCTGGATTTTATTAAGAGTCTTGCAGCAGTTTATCACCATGTTGAACAAGGTTCAATAGAAAAATGTCCTTTAAAGAGTCCACCGTCCGATGCTAGGGCCACACCTGCCTTCTCCAGAGCCCTCGCTCCAGTGGCAGCAGCGCCCCTCGCTCCCACTCCTTCTTCCTGCGAGGCATACATGCCAGCCGTCGTTGTCAGGGGCTGGAGAGTCCATTCTAACTAACGGGGAGCCTGTGTGCCCAGGAAAATTGCTCCCCGCGGTCTTTTTAGACTGTGGCTTTGGGGGAACACATTGCCAGGCCTGCTCCTGGATCGGGGTCAGATCTCTGACCTTCATCTAGTCGTGGAACACTTCTTTCCCCCAGACTCATCCCTTCCTGAGGGAAAGGGGTGTCAGTATTGGACAGGGTATTGCATCACTGAGGCTTTAGGGGGCTGATAAAGGCACCCACTCATTGGCCCTAGAGGGCATTATTTCTGTATTAAAGTGCAATTTGAGTTTCAAATAGCCAAAGCACAAACAATGGACAAAAACTCACTGTACTGAGGAAAGAGATCATTTGAAGGCTGAGATGCTAAACAATGCAGACCGATCGAAGCCAGGAACTAGCCATGGATAGCATGGCATAGCCCATCGTTGACTTTATTTCTTTATGTTTCCAGGCCCGTGGTCGAGCAAGAGCTGACGAAAGCACCTACATCCTCGTTGCCCCTTGTGGTTCAGGAGTCATCGAACGGGAGATCGTTAATGATTTCCGAGAGAAAATGATGTATAAAGCTATAGACCATATCCGTAACATGAAACGAGAGGAGTATGCTCGTAAGGTATCGTTCTCAGCCCAGGTTGAACTTCAGGTTCATTTTTAAATGGCTGCATGTGGTCACCACTGGTATCTCAATGTTTAAGTATACAGCAGACATTGTGCTGACTTATAAGTTCCAGTTTGATGAACTGTGCTTAACACACCAAGAATCAAGCTCGGTGGGGAGCAGGGAAGAGTCAGCGATGCCTCCTAGTTGAATCCATCCTAAACTTTCATAATATTAATTTATGTTGCCCTTCATCCAGAAAGATGAGGAAAGCTCAGCTCAGCCCGACCTGGTAATGGCGGTTTGATTCCACCTTTAGCATGGACGTAGTTTATTTTAAATTCCAGAATTAGTTGTGAAAGGCCTACTGTGTATCCGTGAGTGTTTTAAGAAACAGGAGCAGGGTGATAAATGAGACTGATGCGATCTCCGGGGGAAACTCGTGTTTCAGTGTGTGCACTGCGAGGAGAAGTTGTTGTTGGTTACCATTATGTCCACTTCCACTCCTGTTGACCCCAGGTGTACAGAGTAGAACTGCCCCATTGGGTTTTCAAAGTAGATCTCAAGGCCTGTGTTCTGAAGTGTCTCTGGGTGAATTCAGACAGGCAACCTTTTGACTGGTAGTCTAGCACACAACGGCTTGCACCATCCCTTGATGATGCTGTTTCTCCTCCCTAGTGCGCCCAATACTAAAAAGCAGGAAGTACTCACTTGTCACAGAGGTGCAAGTGCTGAGGGATTGAAACAGGATGTGATGAAACAAGTGGACACGTGCTACTCTAGACTGGGTGGTTGGAAAAGACCTCTTGGAGTCAGTGCCAAGGAGGCTGCTGGATCATAATGACACAAAAAGTCTTAATATGTCACCGAACTGTGTCTCAGTTTACCAACTTTTCATCATTTTTGTTGTGAGAAGGAGGCAGAAAAGGAAGAATGTAGTCCTACAACATTTCAGAAAATCCCCCATCCCACTGAATTAAAGACTAACTACTATAATAGCAAACAATCCATTTAGAAGAAAATTCACACCCTTGCATATGGGTGTGAATGTTAGTTTCTTAACATTGGAATTGGCTCTACCCTAAATAGAGTTTCATAAAAGGGATGCTTTGAAATTGGTGTACATTACTATAACCAATTCCAAGGTTTTCTAGCCAGGTTTCTGCACAAACTTGAATTTTAAAATCACTTTAAATATAAGGCAAACCAAATATTTTGCAGCATCACATCAAACCCTTGTAGCCAAACTGCCACCGGAAAGTTATCTCCTCACTTTTAATGTCTTAAGCGGATATTTACAAATGCTGAGGGTTGGAGATTAGTTGCTTTGATGTGTGTGTAAACTGGGCCAGTCTCTAGAGTTGAGAGGTCAAACTTTCCCAAGCACAATCCTCTTGAAGACCCCAGAGCAGGGTACCTTTCTAGAGTTCCTTTAGCGCAGAGACTCGCCATCCTAATAAGATGCCGGGGAGAAAGCAGAGAGGGCGGTGATGTGGACTGCATGCCGCCACCACTCTGGTCCAACCCCCAGTCGACATTGCTATCAGGTCTTGGTGCGTCTTTCTTCTGAATTGAGGATTCTTTCAATAGAATTGCGGACCACTGTCATAATGATCAGAGTTGACATGTGAGATGAGATGTATCTGCTATCTCATATACAGAGCTTATTGAACACTTTAAAAACCAGACTTCTGGGAATAAGGTGAAGATCTTAAACTTTCCCTGACAGTGGAGAACTGTAACTTCTGCTTCTTCACCGGGACTCCTTGGTAAAGGGCTTAGATTTTCGTATAGTGCTATGGACCGCAGCACTTATCAGAATTGAAATCAGCTACTTTTTGAACATTTAAGAATTTCTAAGATTCCGGAATAAGAGTGTATGAAAATTCTTTCAGGACCAGTGCCTCGTTACTTCCATTGTCAAGGCCACAAGCTAAGTGTATGCTTTTATAATTATCCAACGACCTCCTGACTCAGGCATATCAATGAGTAGATGCTTATATTGGTTCCAGGAGGCTTACTTCATGGAAACGCTGGAAATTAACTCAAACCTTTCCTACCCTTTTCTTGAGGCAGATTTTGGAATTACAGATGCAAAGTATAATGGAGAAGAAAATGAAAGTCAAGAGAAGTATCGTAAAGCAATACACGGATAATCCGTCACTAATAAATTTCTTCTGCAAAAACTGCCGTGTGCTAGCCTGCTCAGGAGAAGATATCCATGTAATTGAGAAGATGCATCATGTCAATATGACACAAGAATTCAAGTGAGTCCTGTTTTCTTGGGATTTCTTGACAAGGGGTGAAGCAGATAGTATTGTCGCTCTTTATGTGAACTTTGTGAGCTCTTGCTGTTGAGTCGCGATGATTCGATTTTGACGCATTCCAACCCGGCAGGATGGAGGAGCCCTTCCCCAGGGGTTTTCTTGTCTGGAATCGTTACCGAAGCAGCTCTCTCGGTCTTTCTTCCATGGAGCTGCTGTGCAGGCATGAACTGCCAACCTTTGACTAGCAGCTGAGTGCAAAGTCAATCACTGTCCCGGGGGTTTCTGAGACTCTAACATCAGGCTGAAATCATCAGCAGGTTTGAAAAGTCCCCCAACCAACCAGTTGCCATCGGGTTGATCCTGATTCATGGCACCCTCCGGTGTGTCAGGACAGAGCTGTGCCGCAGCGGGTTGGCAGGGACCCATGTTTCAGAAGTCAGTCACCAGACATTTCTTCTGAAATGCTTCTGGGTGAAACCACACCTCCGACCTTCTGGTTGGCAGCTGAGGTCAGTTCACTGACTGCCCCACCCACGGACTGCTGAGAGGGAAATAAGTCTCCCAGGACAGCAAGTCCCTTGTGGAGTATGCACAGAGAAGGCTTCCGCACCTCATTGGCCTATGACCTGGGACACGGGAGATAAAGAGAGAAGAAATGAAATGGGGGATCAAGGCATGTCTGTGGTGAGCTTCAAGTCCAAGAGTCAGCCTCTGTGGGCTGTGTATGGGTCCTTTGTGATTTCTCAGGGATCATGCTTACTCTTTGCTCGTTTTAGGAAGCTCTACATTGTGAGAGAAGGCACGAAAAGCAAGTTTGCTGACTATGAAACAAACGGCGAGATTATCTGCAAATGTGGCCAAGTGAGTAAATTGGCGTGGGCTTAAATTTTACTTGCCCCAGAGAAACGCTGAATGGTGTGCATTGAATTATTTTCCCTCTCCCTCTCTTTTGTGTTTTCCAGGCCTGGGGAACGATGATGGTGCACCGAGGTTTAGATTTACCCTGTCTCAAAATCAGGAATTTTGTAGTTGTCTTCAAAAATGATTCATTGAAGAAACAATACAAAAAGTGGGTGGAACTACCCATCACATTCCCTGACCTAGACTATTCAGAATATGTTCTGTTCAGTGATGAGGATTAGCATTTGATTCCAGGTTCTTCAATATATAATAGTATTTTGATGAATGTTTTCAGGGTGATACAAAAGGAATGTAAGGATTAATAAAAAAAAAATCATTGCTTTGACTTTGTCTTTGCACTGAACACTTTAAAAGAAGACAACATGCCATTCGTCAATTATCCATCTTGTTGGTGAGGTCAAGGATGTACGAGTAATATTTATTAGTGTAGGACATATGGATGCAGCAGAAAACATGGTGGCCTATGGATGAACGTCTAAGGTACAAGTCTTATTCTAGATTGAAATTTAGTAATGTCACTAATTTCCAGAATAAAACTAAGCAAAAACAGTTCATCTTTTTGTTCCAGTCTCTTTATCGGTGGGAAGGTTATAATATAATTGGTCTTTGCTTGCCTTATTTGTCTATTGATACATACAGATTACCTCAAACTTAGTGATATGACACTCAAAACTCAGCCCATTGCTGTCACATCAATCCCTGCTCCACGTAAACTGCCCCATGGGGTTTCCAGGGCTGTGATCATTTAGGAAAGCAGGATGCCACATCATCCTCCTGTGGAGCGGAGGGGAGTTTTGCACACTCGCGTGCTTACCCTCTGCCCCACAAGAGCACCTGGCAGGGTTTAACCCGACACTCATTTATTATCCAACATTTTCCATAGGTCGGAAGTCCAAACAGATCCTTTTCTCAGGGCCTTACAAGGCTGGAATCAAGGCATGAGCCAGACTGTGTTCTCTGGGAGGCACTGGGGAAGAAGTCACATCCAATCTCATTCAAAGAATTCACAGAATTCATTTCCTTACAGCTGGATGGCTGAGGTCCGTGTTTTCTTGCTAGTTGTTGACTGAAGGTCACTGTTGGTGTCTAGAGCCGCCCTCACAACAGGGCCCTCTCACAGGCCCCTGTACATTGTGGGTGTTCGCATCTTCAAGGTCAGTGGGTTTGAACCACTGACCTTTCAGCTAGCAGCCTAGCCCTTCATCACTGCATCACCAGGGCTCCTCCATCGGTATGTTATGTAGATACGATTCCAATGTGGCCAGCCTTGAACGTCAAGGACAGTATGATGCTGCTGGACTGACCCTGTCAGGAATGGCATGGACAGGAAAGAAACACATCAGGCCACAGCAGGTCCGCAAACGTTTTTCTCTAGCACCCAGTAAGGATCATCTAGTATGTATTTATAGGTCTCTACACTTCATTTTAGTTCAGTTTACCTGGAAAATATGAAATGCCTATGACAGCATCTTTACATTTTTTCACATACTTTTATCACAGAGGATTTGCCAAACTCATCCTTTACATGAAATCAATCATTCCATAAAATTCTTATTTGAGGATGAAATGTGGACAGTGGTGAGCCCTATAAGGCCATGTCTTTAAAATCCAAATTAAAAGCCAGATACTAGGTAGGCCATACAAAAGGAGGTAGACTGCGTATAAGAGGGAGTACTCTATTGACTCACGCGGCTGGTAGAAAACCTTTGGGCCACTATAAGAAGTCACATAGATTTAATGCAGTAGACTAATTAGTTTATGACATTCTGAAATGAAGCAACTGTTTCAGAATTCTCTTGGACTCTGTTGTCCCGCCTAGGATTAGGATAAATTCAATAACACCCCATGATTTCTATCACTAACTTCATTTCCCCCTTACCATTTGAGAAGGATTTATGTGTTCATGACTTGATCTTTCATGCTACACACCTTCTTGAGTTGACAATGATAAAATAATAAGACTTTTGAAAAGGATTTATCTCAAGTGAATCTCAAACAATGATATTTCTTGTGTTCCATTAGGCTCCATGCTTTTTTCTGTTACTGAGAGCTGCCAACTATGAGGGGAACACCTAGTTAAGGTTTGTGATGTCTTGCAATAAAGGACTTGGGACAGTGCATTATTTTTTTTATCACTCATCTATTTTGAGATGATGAAAAGACAAAAATAACTGTAGAAAACATAAAACATGTTACATTTCATGTAAAATGTTGCATCTCATTAAGAAGAAAAAGGAGAGGAAATGCAGGTAGAAAGGAAATAAGTAGAAATAAAAGAGCAAAACGGATAATGAGCCAAACTAAAACACTTCACCCAATACAGGAAAAGGAAAGAAGACAAAAGCAATTCACCATGTTGTTAGTGGCTACAGTGTCATGACAACCCCCCGCACAACACAATTACACACTGAGTATCTCTGTGCCAGCCACAGGACAGGTCATTGTGGGAGTTACATGATTTCATGTCAACTTAAAGACATAAAAGTGTAAGGGTGGTATGCAGCGTGTCAACCAGGTCACAACCTAATGGTACCTCCTTGTGAGCATGACCTTATCATAAGGGGAGCCTGGGAGCCTCCCCTTTCTCCCTCTACCTTCACTTACCTGCTGGAGGGCCACTCTGAAACCTGCCAGAGCCCTGTGATGCTTCCTCCGCCATTGGATCCACAAGACTCTGCCCTGTGATTTCCCTGCACTGTGCATCATTGCATGTGGCCTCGGGAGACTGAAGAGGAACTTATGGACTGCTATCAGACTTACAGACTTGCGTTGGACTGGGCTGGGATGTTTTCTTGGTATACAATTACTCCTTGATATAAAGCTCTGTCTTATACATATTTATGTCACTGGATTTGTTTCTTTAGTCAACCCGGCCTAGCGCTTATGGCTCAGACCACTGATCTATCGGGTCTTTGTTGTCAGGTCTCCAGAAGTCCATCACTGAGCATTTATTATGCCATCTTAGTTGGAAAGCAGAGTCTGGAGGTTTTTTTGGAACTGGCTCAGCATCGTAACAGCATGCAAGTCGATGACGTCCAGGACAAAAATTGTACCACTGGACCCCCATGGCTAATAAACGACCAATTGTTCATTTATCACAAAAGGTTAAGTTCCTACTACAGGCAACTCCTGGGGTGCAATGGAAGTTATTCCTAC